CCGCGGCGGCGGCGGCGGCGGCGACGGCGGCGACGGCGATGGTGACGAGCGCTCCGCGCAGGCGCGCAGAGGCGGGCGCCGAGGAGCGCCCGCGCGACGGCCCCGCGCCGCAGCGTGGCGAAGGGCCGCCGTCGCCGTCGTTGGCCTAGCCGTCGCCGTCGTCGTCGTCGTCGTCCTCGTCGTCGCCGGGGTCGTCGTCGTGTCGTCGCCGTCGTGGTCGTCGTCGTCGTCGTCGCCGTCGTCGTCGCCGTCGCCGTCACCGTCGCCGTCGTCGTCGGCCTCATCGCCGTCGCCGTCGTCGTCGTCGCCGCCGTCGTCGTCTTCGCCGTCGCCGTCGCCGTCGCCGTCTTCGTCGTCTTCGTCATCGTGATCGTCGTTCTCGCCGACGTTGTCGTCGTCGCTGTCGCGGTCGTCGCCGTCCTCGCTGTCGTCGCCGCCGTCGTCGTGGTCGTCGTCATCGTCGTTGCCGCCGTCGTCTTAGGAATCGTCGCTGCCGCCGTCGTCTTAGGACCCCTCGGTTACTCCGAATTTCACACCGCAATGAGCATCGTGTCGCCAATCTTGGTCCCTACTGGCTTGGCCTGGGCCCCACTGGCCGATCTACACCCCCCGCGGGATGGGGATGTAGGCGGCCGATTTACACCCCCCCCGGGATGGGGATGAAGGCTGTTCCGCTCGGATTTCGAGGGGCCTATCCCCAATTGGGGTGATGGGATTTGGTTCGGGGTGGTCTGATTTGAACTGTCCTGGAGGGCCCCTGGGGTCCGGGCAAAAGGCCGCACGTTCATGGCTGGTCTGGAGGGGGTCTGAAGTTTGCTCGACTGGGAGGATTGTGACCCCCATTTTAATTCTGAAGTTTGGAGTGCGTTGCACCTACCTTCGTGGGACTTCTTTTGTCCTTTAAATGGCGGTCCTTTGTGACATTCGACGCGGAGTCAGCGCGGATCTGGTATGGACTCGACGCGGATTTGGCGCGGCTTCGACATGGCTTCGGCATGGGTTCGTCGCGGAGTCGGCGCATCACTTCTCCCTGTCACACCCCGAGGGTAGTGTTTAGGGCGGGCCGGGCGCTTCGCCTGAGACTTTCTCACCATCCATGACCCTGAACTGAAGGTAAAAAAACGGCAACAGTTTCACACATGGAGGGCGGGTGGTTTTCAACATGTGGTTCTCGCCTAAGCCCCGCGCACATTCGTCTTAAACATTTGAAAGGGTTTCACGAATTGGGGGCGGTGGTTTTCAAACTGTGGCTCTCGCTGTAGCGCCCTGCCCATTCTTCTGAAACAATTGCAAGAAGAGTTTCACGGATTGAGGGCTGTTCGTTTTCAACATGTGGTCATAATTTTAGCGCCGCGCAAATTCTTTTGCTAAATTTGCAAGAGTTTCACGGATTCCCACGATCAGCATACCACCATTTGTGTTTTTGGAAGGATTCAGGATTATGAGGGCATAACAGTTGCGTTGATTCGTTGTGTTGAAGTTTCAGGAATGGCATTCTGGAACGATTCAATATCGTCAAGACGCAACAGTCAGGTTGATCGGTGGCGTTGGAATCCCGAGAACATTGTTCTGGTTTGTTTCAGGGTCTTCAAACGAATGTTCCGTTCCCTTACTGGAAATGAACAGTTGTAGGGGGCTATGAAGAGGGAGTTTCGAGGGAGGGTGGATTACACTATCGTTGATGACTCTTGGATTTCCACTGGTCCTCCTCCTCCGCCGCCTCCTCCTCCTGCAGCCTCCTATGAAGCCTTCCCCCCTCCTCCCCCTACCTCCACCCCTGTGCGCGCCGCCGCCAATCCTGGGCCCCCCTCCCCTGGCGCTCGCCCCCGAGCTCAGGACGAGCGCCCCTCTTTGCCTGGGCGAGGGGCGATGGGTGAGGAGGGGTCGAGGGCGCGGGGAAGGGAGGGAGGAAGGCGGGGAGCTTTCTTGGCATCGCTCGGGCGTGTGCGTTGCTTCTCGGCGAGGACCATCGAAGTGCCTTTGGGGCCATCTTGCGAGGGGAACAGCACGCATGAAGGAATGAGGAGGGATGGCGAGGGAGGGGAGGGGGGAAGGGAGGGAGGAGATCCGGAGAGGCGATGGCGAGCGAGGGAAACGAAGAGATGGGGAGGTGAGGGGAGGGAGGAAGGCAGGAGAAGGACGTCCGAGCGATGGCGAGGGAAGGGAGGGGGGAGGAACGCGGGGGATCCCCTGGAGGGACTCCTGGGGACCTCCGGCAGGACCCCGGAGGCTCCTGTGCCCTCGACCTCCACCTCCCGCAGATTCCGCGCGGCAGCAGCCGAGCTGCGGCCGCCTCCGCCGCAGCGCATCGCTGGCCCCCGCCGAGGCCGCAGCGGCGGTCTCGGCGGCCGCCGCGGTGGCACTTCCCCGTGCGTAGGGTTCGGTGGGTGGGGATCGAGGATGTTCTGCAGCACCGGTGGTGCAGCTCGGGTTCACCGTTGTCCCTGTCCTCCTCCGACTCCTCCGCCAGCCCCAGCACCACAACACGTCGGCCAGAGGCCCGGAGCCCGCCACGAGAGGAGGGGCCCCCAAGGAGGTGCTTCTCAACACCCTGGGTGGAGGGCGCCAGACCACCCAGGTGCATGCGACTGCCCCAATTGAGCGACGCAAGAAGAACGGGGTCGTTTGCGCCGACGTTGGCGCGCAAGCTGCGCACGTAAGGTCGCGCGTCAGCGCCCTCGCTTCAGCGTAGATTGCCGCGCTGGCGGCCCGCGTAAGCCACCGCCTAAGGTCACTCTGTCCATCTCGCGTCTGACGTGTTTTTGATCGTCGCGCAAGCAACAAATAGGGGGCCACATGCGAACCCTACCCCTACCCCCCACGATTTCTGAGGGGGAGGGTCTTCACTTCGCTCGGGAGCTCCCGAACGAAGTCTCCCCCTCAGAAATCGTGGGGGGTAGGGGTAGGGTTCGCAGGTGGCCCCCGAAAATAACAACACGCACGGAGGGGGAGGGGAGGAGGGAGGTGAGGGCGGGGGAGGGGAGAAACAGAAGGTGGGGGAGACGTGCGCCCGGCTGGGAGGTCCACCCGACCTCCCTTGTCGCTTCAGTTCTTCCCTTTATAGGTACAGTATCGTTTTTAATACATGTTCCGCGTGCGGATCATGAATTACAAATGAAGGGATCTACTACTTAAAACGACGATGAGATCATACATAAATGTATTCATACATTGATCATTATTAAGATCATATGTGTTTAAAAAATCCTATGTATTAAAAACTGCCCTGTAACTCCTCCCTGTCGCACCCCGAGGCCAGTCGAAAGGGCGGGCCAGGCGTTTCGCTTGGAGTTAATATGTATAACCCTGATGCTGAACAAATGGTAACATGTTCACAACAGGAGGGCGGGCCCTCTTCAACGCCCGGGTGCCCGGGTGCCCGGGAGCTGCGTCCCCGATTTCGGCGGCCCGCCCAGGTGCCCGGGTGCCCGGTAGCTTTATAGTTCTATAGCCTGTAGTTTTGTAGCCCGATAGCCTTATAACCCTATAGCCCTATACCAGGCTCCGACTCGGATGGTGCCCATCTCGTCTCGATTGTCATTGGCTCTGTCGTGTTGCGGGATGAGTTGCCCCAGATGTGTTTCTCATACGTACGCAGTGTCTTCCGCCTCCTGCTGGGCACCCTTCCTCCTCCTAATTAGACGACGCCTTCCTGGATCATAGAAACTAGACGTGCTGGCGATCAGCAGTGTGGGACCAGTGGCCAGAGCAGTAGTCTTCAAGCAGCTCATGCTCTACGTGTGCGAAGCATGTCGGGCAAGCCTGCGGTGAGCATGCATCGTGCCAGAGCGCTCCCGAGCGCTCGCAGAGCCTTCTGGAGCGCCTTGGCGCTCCCGGAGCGTTCTGCAGCGCCCTGGAACCGCCGCGGTGCGGGTACATCCTCCGGACCCGCCGGTTCTCAGAGACTCCCGAGTTACCATCCAGGTTTCCATGCAGATGGCCCACGTACCCTTTGCACCCATCTCCATTGACCCTCATCCCCATCGGCCCACGTCCCGATCCGCTCTGAGTCCCGATTGCCCTCATCCCCCTTGACCCTCATCCTTCACTATCTCTCCCGATTCCCGATGGATCCTCATCCTGCCGTTCATGGCCCCCTCTGCCAGCTTGTGCCTCCTCTGTTTCTTATTCACTCGTTTCTTGAACGTGCTATCGGGTGCCTCGTAGCGTCAGCTTCCGCCTCCTCCTCGTCTGGCTCCTTCGAGTCGCCTTGCCCGTGAGGCGGCGGGGGTTTTGCCCCCCTGCGACTGGTCGGTGTGCCGGGACAGACGCAACCTGAGGAGGAGGGGGATAAGGAGGGGGAGGAGGAGGAGGAGGAGGAGGAGGAGGAGGAGGAGGAGGAGGAGGAGGAGGAGGAGGAGGAGGAGGAGGAGGAGGAGGGAGGAGGAGCAGGAGGAGGAGGGGGAGGAGGGGGAGGAGGAGGAGGAGGAGGAGGAGGAGAGGAGGAGGAGGAGGGGGAGGAGGAGGAGGAGGAGGAGGAAGAGGAGGAGGAAATCGGGTAGGAAGACGAGGATGGGGAGGAGGAAGGGGTCGGGGAGAAGGGAGGGGTCAGGAGGAGGAGGAGTAGCAGGATGAGGAGCAGGAAGAGCAGGTCTAGGGTGCAGGGGGCACGGCTCGGGTACTCAGGAGGAGGGGCGAGGGCGAGGAGAGGAGGCGTGTAGCGGTTGGGAGAAGGAGGAGGAGGAGGAGGAGGAGGAGGAGGAGGAGGAGGGGGAGGAGCGAGATACGATTGTAGAGCCATCGTCGCCTGGCGCGCAGGAAAAGCTTGCGGCGCGCAGAGGGGGGTAGGGGAGGGGGGGAGGCTTCTTGGGAGGAGGCCGCTTCTTAGAAGGCGTGGGCCTTGTCTATAGATGTATGGCAGGCGCCTTCTAAGAAGCAGCCTCCTTCTAAGACGCCTTCGCCCCCTCCTCCTAGCCCCCTCTGCGCGCCGCCAAAAGAGGGAGGAGCAGAGGAGGATGAGAAGGAGGGGAAGGAGGGAGAAGGCGCGGAAGGAGCCAAAGGAGGAGGCGTTGACCACCAGGACGAGGACGAGGACTACGACGACAGCGGCGTGGAGCAGGGCGAAGGCGGCGACGCGCGCGCGGAGACCGGCCGCGAGCTGCTGGCGCGCATGCAGGAACGGGGGGTTCGTGCCGTTGTGCGTTCGTGGCTCAACAGACGGGGGGTCAGTGCAAACGGGGGTCAGTCAGAGCGCCAGATCTTGGAGGATTCTGCAGAGCCAGGGATGCACTGACCCGGGTTTGGGTACAGGACCTTGCAGGGTCTTGCAGGATCCTGCAGGAGGCCCAGCTGACCTGCGTTTGCAGTAACCCGAGTCAGTGCGTCCCCGATGTGTGATGTCTCTTCTTTGGACCTGCAGCGATGGAGACAACGCTGAGTGGGGGGGGGCGGTGGGATGTGCAACAGCTCGCTTGCGCAAACTCTTGCGCGAATTGCTGCGGGGAAGCACGAATTGGTGAAAGGGGTGTACATGATTCCGTTTGAGAGACTGCACGATTCGATCCACGCGCAACTACGGCATCCAGACCGCAAACTACTGCATGCGTGCAACAACTACTGCAGATACCATTGCAACTACCCTGGCCGCCCCAATCTGCGCTACCCCCACAACTCCAGCTTAGATCTTCCCCCTACCCGGAGTCGTTGGTGTCCCCACCCTCTCCCCCAGCTATCGACCTCCAGTTTCACACGCCTGCGCTTCAGTATCCATTCTCGACAAAACCAGTTTGACCTCCAACCAGCACCCAGCCGAAGAACTCCAGCGCCCGACACCACTTCAGCCAGCATTTCGACTTCCAGCTGCAGGCTTGCAACCGTGAACATCGTCATGTCAGTCCGATTTCTGCAGGGTTTGAGAGGCTGCGGCCCCGCGCGCCTTAACGGGCACGGGCACACGCGCTTCGCCGCATGAGCATGCATTGGCGCCTCGCTCGTGGGCTCCGCCCTTCAAAGGGCTCAGAGTGGCTCAAATAGGCGATCGAAGATGCAGTCTGGACGAAAGTGGAGACGCCATTTGTCACGAGTTCCACCCCTGATGCTCCCACGCCGGCCTACTGGGTAAGCTCGCGGCTGGCGAGCCATGTTTGCGAGGCCGCCGCCTCGTCCGCTCCGCCCCAAAAGGGGCCCGAACGAGCGTCCCATTCCCAACCCATGCCGCCCTCGTCGCACGCGGATGTCAGGAGGAACGTGGAGACAGAAGAGGACTTGTTTCGGGCTCGCGTCAGTTTTGGCCGGGTTCGTGTGTACCTCGTCCCTGATGTCGTCTTCTCCTCCTTCTGCTCCGCCTCCTCCTCCTCCTCCTCCTTCTCCTTCTCCTCCCGCCCCCTCCCGCCCTGCAGGGGCAACGAGGGGGGATACACTCAGGGGGGGCCGTATCGCTCACTCATCGCCGTCGGGGACCCGATACCCAACCCAGGGACGTGCGGAAGCGCTATCGGAGGCCCATCGCCGATCCATCGGCGATGTACCGGCGAATCCATGATAAGGTTTTCTCCATTTGAGCCGGTCCCCCCTACCTTTCCCCCCCACGCCAGCGGCTTGCCGTCGTCACCGCCACCATCGCCACCAGCATGGGTATCCTCATCGTCGCTTTTGCCGCTGTTGACGTCGCCATGATACCGCGCCCGACCGACTCACCGACTCGCACTGAAGTGCCCGCGCGTCAGCGCGGCCTGCGAGACGCACTGGGGAGTCTCCAGGGGTCAGCGCTTGGCGGCCGCGCTGGTCCCGCCAGACTGGCTGGCCGTTCTGCGAGTGAGCCTGAGCCCGCTAGCGCGGCCGCAGCGATGTGCCATCCAGCGCCAAGCAGTCATCGCAATCGCCGCCGCATGGGTTTTGCAAACCCATGTGCGGGTGGGTGGGTGAGATGATTGCGCGGCGTTGACAGCCCACGAGAAGTTAGTATTTACGCGCACCTCATAGATCGACCCCTTCCGTTGCCCCACAATGACTGCGCCCCGTACATTGCGCAAAATAGACTGCACAGCCTTGGTTGCACAACATGAATTGCACCACGTATATGTTGCCCCGAATTGATTGCACACCATACGCTGCCAGAAACACACTGTTGGGGATCACCGTAGGCTACAATAGAATATACATCTACGAGTAAGTATGTGTGACTGTATATGTGTACACATTACAACCAAACCGCGTAGTAAGGAGGGGTAACCTTCCCAAAGGCACACTTGCATGCCTGCCCCGCCGTCGCATCCTCATTGACTTTCGCTGGCCAACCTCGTTGGAAAAACGTCCACATGGCCCCAAGGCCCTTGCATCCTTACCGCGCATCCTTCTGATACGGGTTGACTGTATCGTCCTTCTCCCCTTGTTCACCCGTCGTCCCTCCTCCCCCCCCCCGCCATCCTCCCCCCCCGCCTCCCCCAACCCCCAGGAGTTGGCCGACCTCCAGCGCCAGCTCGAGCACCTCCGCCGCGCCACCGCGCAGCACCACGCGGCTGTCGGGCGACTGGAGGGCGCCGGCGGCCAGGCCCGCGCCAGCGCACCGCGGCGGCGCGGACGACGGCGCCGACGCGGCGAACGACGGCGGCGACGACGACGAAGACGACGATAGCGTCCCACACACGCTGACTGGGTCGGCGGATTTCTTGCCGTCAGAGTGCAGGGGAGCCCCCCCCCGCAGTCCCAGCCGGCCTCGGCGGGCTCCCCGGAAGAGCAGCCCAGGCCAGGCTCGACGCCGTGGCGCGGGGTGTTCTGTGGACCACCTGCGGGCTACACCGGGGGGCTCGTGGAGGCCAGTCAGGATTTGTTGTTCCTACTCCTCGACCCTCCCTCTTCCTCCGTCCTCCCTCCCTCCTCCTCCTCCTCCTCCTCCTCCTCCTCCTCCTCCTCCTCCTCCTCCTCCTTCCTTCCCTCCTCCTCCTCCTCCTCCTCCTCCTCCTCCTCCTCTCCTCCTCCTCCTCTCCTCCTCCTCCTCCTCCTCCTCCTCCTCTCCTCCTCTCCTCCTCCTCCTCCTCCTCCTCCTCCTCCTCCTCCTCCTCCCTCCGGGCCTGCGGGGGCGCCCCCGGGGGTCCCCGGCTCCCGGGCCGGCGCCTGCGGAGGGCGGTGGCTCCCGGGGCCTCCCCTGCCTCCCCCCTCCTCCTCCTCCTCCTCCTCCTCCTCCTCGTTCTGGGGTCTTCCTCCTCCGCTCGTCGACGCAGCCCACCGCCTGGCTCACGAATCACACGGCGGGGTCAGGGCCCGGGAGGCCGTCGGACCCGCGCGGTTTCACAGGTATTGTCACCGTTCGCAGGAGGGAAAAAAAAAGGATTTGTTGTGGGTGAGCCGATGCCCCGATAAACTTCAGATAACCAGGCCGGACGGTGAGAAAAAAATCAATTGTGGTGCAAGTGGGTTGTCCGTATCGGGTTGGCGTTTCGTCCCTTGCGGGACCCTTCTGAGCCGAATCGACAGAATTGGTCATGTGCATGCGAAAGTATGGACACATTTGTCCGACACGTTCCAGGTTTACGACTGCGACGGCGAAGAACGACCAATGACGGACGAGAGATTGTTTTTTTATCCTCTGGGGGGTAACGCTCGTTACCCGGGCCTCTCCCCCCCCCCCCCCCCCCCCCCGGTAACGCTCGTACGCGGGGGGGGTCTCGGTCTTCCCCTCCAACATGCTGGTGCCCGAAGGCATGCGCACTGTGGTGTGGTGGTCGCAGGCGCACTGTGGGCGCTCGCAGGCCATTGCGGCGCTCGCATGCGCGATGCTGGTGCTTGCGGGCTTTGCGCTTGTACTCGAATCGTCGTCGTCGTCGTCGTCGTCGTCGTCGTCGTCGTCGTCGTCGTCGTCGTCGACGGCGCCCGAAAACGGCCTCCGGAGGCCGAAACAGGCGGCAAACGTCGTCGTCGTCGTCGTCGACCTCGTCGCTCGTCGCTCGTCGATCATCGTCGTCGCGCGCGCGGGCGCGGGCGTGGTGCCGGGACCACGCGGCGGGCTTTGCGCTTGTACTCGAATCGCAAGCCACTGTGGTGCTCTCAGGCAGAGAGTGCTGCTCGCGCGCATACTATGGCGATCGCAGAGCGCCCCTGCTTCGCCATACCCCGCCCAGCCCAAGCGTTACCGTTACCCGGGGGGCACGACCCCCCCCCCCCCCCCCCGGGTAACGAGCGTTACCGGCCGGAATAGAAAAATGATCTCCGATTGCCCACCAACCGGTTCGTGCAAAGACAAACCACAATCGAAAGCATGGCTCTGCGCGTGGTTTCGGCATCTCGGGGGCATTTTTGGGCGGCGTTCGGACCAGCATGGTTCCAGTATGGCCTCAGGGCGCCCAGGATGGCTTCCAACATGGCCCAAAGGTGCCACCAAGAGGCCCCAAGACACCCCCCGACGCTTACCACCAGCGACGACGAAAACGGCGACGACGACGATGACGAAAACGACGACGAAAACGACGACGGCGACGACGACGACGACGAAAACGACGACGACGACGACGAATGCGGCGGCGCTGGTGGCAGCGGCACACCAGGGGGGGTGATGAGGGATGGAGGGTCAGCCACGCGCAGCGGGGGGACAACGACGAAATACAGACGCATTTGTTTTTGAATGTTCGGCCTCCAGGAGCCCTCGCCGGGCCCCAGGACCAGCAAAAAACGGCAAGATGTAAAAAGGGTCCCGGGGAATGGGTCGGGACTCTTGGGGACCGCGTACTGGAAAATCAGAGCGTATCCGATCTGGGCAGGGGAGAGGGGAAGGTTTCTTAGAAGCGCCCCTGCTTCGTAGAAGGCGCGAGCCTTGTCTACAGATGTAGGGCCGTCGCCTGCTAAGGAGCAGCCTCCTTCTAAGAAGCCTTCCCCCTCCCCCTACCCCCTTCGTGCGCGCAACCAGGAGGAGGTGGGGAGGACGGAGGATGGAGGGCGAGGACGGAGGAGGATTATACTCGAAATAGGAAAGAGGACAGCGTAAACAACATTTTTCTGAGTTTCGCGCGGGTGTCCTGGATGAGCGTTACGGCCCCGTGGCGTCGCCTTCAGCGCCGCCCCATGCGTACTCCCCGCGCCATGGAGGGGGGTCCAGCGAGCGCTGCAAAAAACCCGCGCAGAGTTCCGAAAGCCTATGGTCAGGGAGGGGGGGTGCAGCGGAGCGACGTCTTACCCAGACCACCAGGAGACCTCGCCATCCCTGTGGGGCTGCGATCTGCGAAGCTGTAGCCACTTTCGAGGGCTGCTGGGGGGTCCGGCGGAGTGCCGTCTTACCCAGGCCACCAAGAGACCTCGCCGTCCCTGTAGGGCTGCGATCTGCGAAGTTGTCGCCACTCTCGAGGGCTGCTGGGGGGTGCCGCGGAGTGACGTCTTACCCAGACCACCAAGAGACCTCGCCATCCCTTGGGGGTCTTCGATCTGCCTGCGAGACTGTCGCAACTTTCGATGGCTGCTGGGGGGTGCTTCGGAGTGACGTCTTACCAATTCAATCCGTATGACTTCGACCGCACACATAGTAGGCCACTCGTGCACCCCGCCGTCCGGAGGCCAGACGCCTATCAGATGGTGTTCGGGCCTTTTTTTGGGTGCGTACAAGATCTTCTCGCTAGCATTGTTGCTCACAGACGTGCCCCCGTTGAATTCCATCATTCGCATGCGTTTCATATCGACAAACAAAACGGCAAAGCTTCTGTAGGCGGTAGGCGTGTCTTGCATAATCTAAGTCCGGTCAGTAAGGCGTTCTTCAAGGCGGTTTGGCGCCGTCAGCCTTTTACCTCGGTTCCGGGGTACGCTTTTGGCTGCATAAAACGGCGATCCCGCGAAGAGGCCATAGCCATCCAAAACATGTTGTGTTGGAGTGCCCGTGCGCTGAACGTGTGCGGTTCGTTAGAGTTGTATGACGTTGTGAACGCGTTCCCATCCATCAGCAGGGAGGCATTCAACCGCATTATCGATTTCAGCCCTGACCGGCTTGACCGCCGATTGTTGCGGCAACACCACGAAAGGGCAACCAGTTCGTTTGCGGTCGGAAGTCACATGTTGCATTTTGTTCCGGGGGATGGTGTTTTCCCCGGGTCATCTGTTGTTTCAGACATGTTCAACCGAGCGTTTTGGGCTGATGTTGTAGGTCCGTGGCATGAGCGTGTTAGACCGGATGATGAGTTCGTTCGTTTGTGCATCTGTTGTGACAGGCGATCCCATCGATCTAGCCACCACCACGCACGTTGATGACACAGCGCGCCGCGTTGCCGCCCTATCGCCTGCTGCCCTTCAGACCCAAGCCACCGCAGTGAACAGAGAGCTCAATCAGACGGCAGAGAGTGCGGGTTTCTCCTGCACGCAGGCAAAAAAAGTGTCGATCACGTCTCTGCGTGGAAAGGGATCCGTCCTCACAGCCAGACAGCTTGCCACCGATGTGGCAATCCGCGGCAGCACGAGCTTTGGAAGAGTAGCTTGTGATGCTCGTTATTTAGGACCCCATCTGCACTACACTGCCAGCTCTGGCTGCAGAAGAGCCACGGAGACTTGACCACGCAGAAAGGGCTTACCGTGCGTTTGGCGGGTTTTGGTCGTCAAGGGCACCTGCTTGCCTTCGTCTGCTCGTTTTTCGTGCTGCTGTTCTCACCGAGTTGTTTTCTGCTGTCACAGCGTTTGCTCTCGGACCGTCAGATTACCGATCGTTTGATGTGTTCATCGTTGCCAAAGGGCGTAAACTGATGCGCGGCGAGGCTTGTGAGAAGACCGAGGACGGCGAAGCGGTGACCGACCGGTCAAAACCTAACGCCGAGGTCTGGAAGTGGCTAGGGGTTGCGCCGTCATTGTATGAGCTCACAATAGCAAGGTTAAGGTTCATGCACCGTGTTTTGTCCCGCATTGATCATCATGAACACTTCTTAACTGCGATGTTAGGCGCTGTTCCGATCTGCGGTCGCACCAGCGTTCCGGAAAATCCATGGCGCACGCAGTTCTTGAACGATTTGGAGCGAGCTCAGACAGTGTTGGATGAGCCCGGCTGCGTTGCCGGAGTCCTGACTGACGTGAATTTGTTATTCACGAATGAAGATTTAAGGGACGAGTTCCGCAGCATAGGGTTTGATGAGATTCGGCCACTGGTGCTTCATAACATTCGAAATTTCATGAGCACGCGCACGGTCCGTGTTACAGAAATGCAGCAGTGCACGTGCCAGGCGCGGCTTGCGGACGGTTCCATATGCGGTATTTTTGTCGTCGTGGTACGCTCTGCAGCAGCATCGTCGTCACGCGGGGGCCTTGGGGGGTGATCATGCCAACATGTTCATCACGCATCTGGTTGTCACCAACGCCTGCCCCTGGTGTTCCACCTCGTTCGTTTCTGCGAAGTCTGCCCAAAAACACGCGTTGGCTGCCTTCAAAAGTTGGCGATGCAAGCTTGACATGAACATTCTGCCTGTGCCTGTGCATGCTGTCGAGAATTTTCCTTGCCCCATCAAAACACCTTGAGCGACGTCCCTCATTATCATTGGCATCTCTGGTCGCGTATCTCTGGCCCAGTTTTAGTCTTTCCTCCTGCTAGCCCCAGCAATCGAACGGAGCCCGGCGATGGAGCTCGACTGGACCGGGGCCCCCGGCGCAGAGGGCGAGGGGCCCGGAGGCAAGCGCAGAAGAGGAAGGGATGGCGAGGTGCTGGCCGCGTTCGTGGCCGGAGCGGACCAGGTGCCCACGGGAAAAGAAATGTCGGAGTTGCGGCACATCGTCGCAATTCTCAGCAAGGTATCGCTCAGCAGCGCCTTCAGCTACGCGTCTTGCGCGTGGTCTGCCTGCGCGTGGTGTTCATCGGCATGTTTTTCCCGCCGATCGTGGCCATGAAGACGGCCGCGAAGACCTACCAGGAGAAGACCGGCGACATGGACCGGGCGGAGAGGGAGCAGAAGTACGGCTTCGTCCACGCGCACGCGTGGAACGGCCTCCTGACGTGGTTCCGGACGACAGCCACGGAGCAAGACGACAAGAAGGCCATCGAGGAGTACCTGGCCCACTGCCGGGCCGAAGGCGGAATCCAGTACATGCAGCATCAAGTTCGAGTGTGCCGTGTAGCCAAGGCATTCAACAAGGGGGACTGCAAGGTGGAGCTGGGATTCAAGGTCCCAGACAGCAAGCACGAGCAGATCTTCGACCGGATGGTGGCCCTGATGCGGGCCAACCACAGGGCGAGGCTCCTTGCGGGCCAGGCGCCGCCGGGCCAATTGGATGACCTCGTCCAGCAGTACCTGGACAAGAACCTGCCAGAGAAGAAGGACACCTAGATCCGGGCAGCCAGCCAGACCGGCGCCAAGACTATGGAGAGATCCCGTTTCAGTTCATCAGCGCCTGCCGGGAGGCTGCAGCAGCTGGCGGGCCTTCGCCGATGCTGACATGGGACGAGTTGCGCGATGGCGCGCCCTTCATAGACCTGGGAGAAATGCCAGATTTCTCTGAGAGCTGAGAGACACGAGTCGTATTTCTGAGCCCGACCACTGAAGCCATCCAGCTTTCTCTTTTCTTTCTCTCCTTTCTCCTCCCTGCCCCTCCCGCGCGGTTTCCGCAGCCCCCCGTGGGCGGTTGGGCGTCTCGCCTGGCCTCTCCCCTCGGGGGTCGGGTGCTTGCGTCTCTCTGCCTGCTGCTCCTCCTCCCTTCCCGCTCCATGCGTATTTTCCACATCGATCCAGGTTCTCGATTTGCAATTGAACTATTGGGTTGCAAAGTGCTCTCGCCGGAGTCCTGCGGCACCATGTAGCAGGTCGCGCGTGGTGTCTGAGTGGGGGCGCGGGGCTGCTCTCAGCCCGTCGCGACTTCCCGCTGTCAGGCTTTGCCGTGAGTTCGCCGGTGCACAGCGTCGGCGAAGCGGCCGCGGCACGGTCGATGGCGTCTCCGCGCGCTCCGGCTCAGATTCGACGTAGCATCAGAGACACTGCGCGCCACGGAGTTAGTGAGTGAGTGTGTGACGTCTTACCCAGACCACCAGGAGACCTCGCCATCCCTGTGGGGCTGCGATCTGCGAAGCTGTAGCCACTTTCGAGGGCTGCTGGGGGGTCCAGCCGAGCGCCGTCTGACCCAGACCACCAAGAGACCTCGCCGTTCCTGTAGGGCTGTAGGGCTGCGATCTGCGAGTCTGTCGCTACTTTCGAGGGCTGCCGGGGTGCAGCGGAGTGGCGTCTTTCCCAAACCACCAGGAGTCCTCGCCATCCCTGGGGGGCTGCGATCTGCGAAGCTTTCGCCACTTTCGACGGCTGCTGGGGGGTCTAGCGGATCGACGTCTTACTCAGATTCAGTTGAGACCTCGACATTTTGAGAGGTCCAGAGGCGGCTGAAGAGGAAAGGCGGAGGAGGAGGAGGAGGAGGCGGAGGGAGATGAGGAGGCGGAAGAGGACGAGGCGGAGGACGAGGTGGAAGAGGAGGAGGAGGAGGAACGGGGGGAGGAAATCCGGCATGTACTGCCGCGGCGGCGTTTGCGGGTGTCTTGCACTGACTATAACCGGGTAAAGGATGTGTTCGAGCCACGCGGCGGCATGGCGCAGGCAGCGCTGATTGTTTAGCGCGCTACCGACAAAAACAACATTTGTTGGCATCCTCCCGTCACTATCGTCGTGGTCCTCCGCCCCCTGCCACCTTCCCTCGGCTGCTGCCGTGCTGGCGGTTCGGTTCCCCGCGCGTCCTTTTCCTGCCCTATGTTCCCGCCCGTGTCCTCCTCAAGCATGAACCCCCGTTCGTTGTCCTTCTGTTGTTGTCTTGCGAATCGAGCCACGTGATCGTATCCCATTCAGCTTGCACAACAGATATCGGCGCTTGCACTGTCATTGTCCTGGCAAGTTTGGGCCGGTTCCTTTTCGGGACTTGATGCAACTGGGTTGGCCGCGTCACAAGATAACGGGCACTCGTGGGGAAACGGGCGAGAACTCACGTATACAAATTTAGGGCATCTGTCAAAACACCCTACGAATTATAATCGAATCGTTTTCGGCATATCCCCCCACCGGTCTTGGGTTGCGAGTCCGAGGCCACTCGGATGGTTGATGGTGTCTCGTGGGAGGCGTTTCGGGGGCGTCTTGGAAGCAGTTGATTGAACCTTTTGGGGGCCTCCTGGGGGCTTCTTGGAGGCTGGTCGCGGCCATCTTGGGGCTCCCTGGGGGCCTGTTGGGAGCTCCTTGGCGCAACCCAGAGGCGTCTTGCGGTGGATGACTCGAAATGTCCTTTCGGGTTTCTCTCTGGGCCTCCTCTTGGGGTTGTCTTGGGACTCTCCTGGGCCATCATGCGGTCTTCTTGGGCAGTCTTGGGGTCTGCTTGGGCCGTCTTGGGGTCCTCGTGGGGGCCTCTTGGCCCGTCTTGGGGCGATCTTCACGGCCTCTCGGGCCGTTTGGGACGTTGTGAACGCCCAAGAAGCGAATGTGCCAAACATGTACGTTCCCCGGAGGGAGTGGGAGGATTTTTGTTTTTGGAGGCCCTCTTGGGGCGCATTTTGGGTGCTTCTTGGGGCGTCGTGAGGGTTTAGTGGGCCCTCTGGGGGGCCAGCGTGGGCGTTTTGGATAGATCTTTCGGCGATCCGTGGCCCTCTTGGACCGCCCCAGGGTTTTCTTGGAGCCCTCTTGACCTGATTTGGGGCCCTCTGCCCCCCCGGGCGCGTTCAGCCACCTCCCGGGGGCCCCCTCCCCCTCCAAATCGACCAGACCGGGCTCCCGGGTGAGGGGTTTGGGGAGGGGGGCACGTCCCACACGCCGACCCCAAGAGGTTCGGCGGATTTGTGCAATCCGCGGGCCCCCCGAACTCTCGATCCAAGGGGGTCGCGCGAGGAGGGCGGCCGTCCTAGAAGCCTGCAGGGTTTCGTCCCCCCGCCCTTCGTAGGAGGCGCCTTCCCGTCGCCCCGCCCCCCCCCCGAGGAGCCCCCCCGTCCCCGTGGCGCCTTGCCATCCGAATCGACACCGATGTCGGCCAGCCTGGTCCGATGCGATTCCGAGACTGAGGCGATCCAGTGCGACCCGATGCTTGCAGGGCGTCCTTGTGCACACGGCTGGGCGACGCAAGCAACTAAAAAACACACGGGGCCGTTTGCGCCGACACTGGCGCGCAAGCTGCCCGCGTAAGCTCGCGCGTGAGCGCCCTCGCTTGCTGCCAATGTGGCGTGCCGCGCCGGCGGTCCTCGTAAGCTTTGGCGTAAGGTCGTTGCGTCCTCTCGCGTAAGGCTCGTCGCTGTTTTGTAGCATCGCTCAGTTGGTGCGAGGGTGAAGGACAACACTGCCTTTGGAGGGGGTACCCTCAGGCTCTTCGCCTCTGGGCTCTCCACCTTGGAGTTCTCTTTGTTCGGGTACCGCCATGTGGCCGTGGTCCCTCGGCGAAGTACAAGCCAAAAACAAACATTGCCCAGCTCCGATTCTTGGCTGGTCCGTGACGATGCCACCCGATCTCCCAATTCGATGTCGATCGATCATGTCTCCATCCAAAGCCTCCATACCGTGCGGCAGGTTGGCCAGTCGTCGACGCGGCGGCGATCCGAGCCCGGGTTTGCATGTTGAACGCTGCCAGTGGCCTGGGATCGGCCGATATCGAGCGATCCCGCACTATCAGTGTTGATCAATCCACGCGGTGTCAGGAACCAACGCGCAAGTCGGCACGAAGCGCACCTGCCGTACTCCTTTTGCTTCTGCTCCTGCTTCTCTGATCTCTTCAGATCCATCCCTTCGCCCTCCCCCTTCCTCCTCGTCGCCCTCCTCCTCGGGCTCCTCATCTTCCTCATAATCCTCCTCCCCGGGTCCCTCATTTTCCTCTTTCTCATCCTCTTCCCTCCTTATTTCCATTCCCCGCCTGCTCCCTCCATCCCCATCCCCCCTCAGACCCCCGACTCATTGTCCTGATCCTCCTCCTCCGTCCTCTCCTTGCTCCCTCCTCCTTCCCCAACCCTCATGCTTCTACACAGCTCCTCCGCTCTCTTCCTATCCTTCCCTTCGCCTCCCCCCTCCTCCCCAGCGGAGCCCTCACCCATCCCGCCGTCTAGCGGGAGCGTAGGAGTTGGGGAGCGCTCTCCGTCTTCGGATGGAGAGCGTTGGGATCTGTGTTGCGCCTATCCCCTCCTCCCCCGCACGCTGAGATCGCCAAAGCGTTCCAAAACGATCCCCCCTCCTCATCCTCCAGCCGCCCGCGACTCCCGAGAGCACCAGCGCCCGCCGCAGGAGGCGGCGGGGTCTGCGGGGCCCTCCGCTGTGTCTCCTGCGGCAGCCGTCCTCGCGGGCCGGCGGGGCGGCCCAGGCGCGGCCGGCCCTCCACGCCGCCGATCGTCGTCATCGCCTCCTCCCTCATCCTCCATCCTCCTCGGTCTCCCTCTCGTCCCCTTGATGGGTGCCTCGCTCGCACTGCACGTATCCAGGCCAGCCAGGTTCTCGAGGCCACGGCAACTCCCACCTGGTCTGGGCTGCGCCCGGACACCGTCCGCAATGGTGGTCGCATAGCATCGCCTCCCCCTCCTCCTCCTCTTCCTTCTCCTCCTCCTTGTCCTCCTCCTCCTCCTGCTCCTCCTGCTCCTTTCTGGCCCCTCTTCTCTTCCTTCTCCAGGAGCTGTTCCTTC